GGCTCTGGCCGGTGCTGCCGCTGCCACCGCTGGGGCCGCCGGAGTGGAGCTCCCAGTCATGAAATATGCATTGTTATAGTAAAAGAAAATCAAATGGAATTTCTAACAAGGGGCTTAATAACCAGATTTAGAAGATACAGTGATTCATTTAAAACTAGGAATAGATAGAAATTAGTAAAAAATTATAGAAAACTAGGTTCTAAGGGGAAAGAAGAATAAACTAATAAAAAGTACATGTACTCTTTTTTTTAATTATTTCTGTCATTCAAAATAAGACAAGTCAATTCCATAACCATAATCATCTGTATGTCCTTAGAATGTAAAATCACAAGAAATAACCAAAGTTTTATTCAGCCCAAAAATACGGTCCAATGATGCAAATGGCCCAAACTTACTGGTAATTTTTTCCTCAGAAAACCATTTTCTCAGTAGATCCAATTTTAAATAACAAGGTTTGCTATTGGCCCCGAGTGTTACCTTCCTCCTTCTCTTTTTAGGATGTTATTTTTCTATTATATGGGACAGAAACATATGAAGGGAGAAAACAAGCACAAAGTTTGGGCCAACCTACCATCTTTTCTGCTTCATGGAAAGATCTTAAGATGTGACACAAGGTAACTTATCAGCTCAGGAATGGATCATGAGCCACAACTCACTGATTTCAGCAGCATACCTGCCACGCTAGTCATCAAAGCGTGAAGGCATAAAAGTACCACGTACTTAGGTTTAGAAAGCATCTGAAAAGGAAGTAGCAGCATCAAGAGGACTGATCATCTTTATTATGTAACAAAAAAACCAAACAGAAAATAAAATACTTTAATAAGAGAAAAAATAGAAGGTACAATTCAAACATAATATACCATATTGAAACCATACACAATGCAACATGAACATAAAAACATTTGTTAAACAGCAATCTTCTAGTTGAGATCGCAAGTTTTGAGTACAAGCATCACCCATCACAAATACACAGCTTTTTGTGCATGTCTGAGTTTCAGTGAGAAAGATCATGACCAGCAGCAGCATTATTTAAATAGATATTTTCATTAAACGCTTACCTAGTGAATGTATTGGATGCAATCTCTTCATATTAAAAGTATAAAATCTTAAGCAAGGCAGTGCCTGCCAATACAGATTTTAACATATGCAAATAAAGAGGATAAATATGTTGCCAGGGTTTTTTTATATTGCATTAATACACATTTGTTCCTTTAAAACGTGTATTCAAGTCTCTTAACATTTAAACACGACTAAAATGCTCAGCAACTACGCATCAAGTGACAACTAATTATTGCTATAAGAAAAATTTGTTTCCCAGAGTTTTAAAATAGATGTAATTTCATTTGCAGTTCTCAAGATACGTTCAAGTAATAGAAGTAACTAGTTCCAGTGTCCATGAGGCATTCTGAATCTGTATTGGCTGTAGGCATTTATTGCCAGATCATATAAATATTTTATTGAATCTAAAAAAGTTAACTAAACTTACATATAACTATTAAATTCCTTAGGAAATGTATGCAGTAATAAAATCACCACGGTATGCATTTTTTATTTTAAAAAGCTAAAACTTCAGCATCAGGCGACCTTGAAACTCCTTTCTAAGGGCACTATTTCAGAGTTGGCTTTATAGAACAAAAAGAGAAAGCAAAAATCTAAACAACTTTTTCAGCTGGATCAGTGAACCACTCCAAATCAGTGTGTGGTCACACAAGCACTAGAGCTGACAGATAAGTGAGAATGCGCAGACAAGAGTATACGGTTAAACCATGACAATGGCAAACGGGGAAGCTGGAGTACAAGATCAGAGCATGGACTGCTATAAAAGTACTGTATTAAGCCAGTAACAGAATGCAAGACAAGTTAAGTTGTTACTAAAAGGATATAACCTTCAGATGTTTCTGAAATAGCCAACTTTCTCTGCACTTTAGCTAGCTATGCCTCCAGTACTGTTTTACACTCTTAAAAAATGTAAGAGAAAAGTCAAGTTACAGTGTATAGTATTTTAGTTCCAACACTCAACATACTAGAACTAAGAATCAGTTCTGAAACCCATTACATTGCAGAATGAGGCATTTCAACCTTTAGAATATGAAATACCACAGTATTTAAAGAGTAACCAAAATCTATTTGGAGAGCAAATGGGAGCCAGGGCACAAGAAGCAGATATTACTTTGGCTGCACAACTTATTATACATAAATCACCAACTAGACTAGGAAAATCACTGGGGATGTTTTCCACCACATATACAATACCCATTAAGAAAAACAGTTTGACAATGGGCAATGGTGATACAGGATGAAAAGTCAGTCCTAAAAGGTAAACATTCAGAACAGTCTCTATAAACCCCAAAAATATAAGCTGTGCACCTTACTTTCCCCTTCTCCTCATTAGTATTAAATAGAAAAAACTTTGAGGTTCTTTTACAAATACATTTTACATTTAAATTAAAAATTGCATTATTGCTCTGTTTTCTCTGAATTTAATGATAGTCTTGCTGGGAATGTGAAAATATAGACTAGGAACTCTTAGAAATGTTGCTAAATATTTTAGAGCAAGTTTTTTTTCCTCAACTGGGTTTTTTCCAAGCCTTTAGTTGTAGGAGATAGATATCCAAATTTTAAAGTCTTACCAAAATAATCAAGTTCATTTCAGTGCTGGCAGGTCTGAAGCCAATTAGTTCTTGAGTCACACAGCCTTCCATGAAAAACAGGACAAACCAAAATTCCAAATGCATCAACAGAAGTTCTTGAAAAGCTCCAGCAAAACGAAAAACTAGCTGGTCACAGTCACATATGAAAACGCATACCTTTTGCATGTCACCTTGAATTGCTCAGAAAGTATATCATCTTCCTTAGTAGTTGGGAGCACAAGGAAAACTCGTCACCCATCACTTTAGTAAGCAAGCATTCTATTTCAGTTATGCTCCAAAAGGAGGAAAAAATAGATGTAATTATTCCTAGGCGATAGCATTATTCTTTCTCAATGAAAGGTGAAAAAAAAAAAACAAACAACCCTGCTCTGCATTGTTGATCCACAGGAAAAAAAAATTTTGTTTCTTAAGTTGTTATTTTCATTCATATAGTGAGAGTAAAAAAACAAATCACAACATCCAATAAATAAACTTTGTCGTTGGGCAAGAAGAGAAAAATAAGATTATCACCTCATAGATATCTTAGCAGATGACAGCTGAACTTAAATGAACTCAACAGTGCAACAGAGCATCTTTGTGTATCTTTCTAAAGATACTTTCAAAGTTGGTTTTGGGGAATTAAAATATCTGACATTAATTAAAGGAACTGTGTAATTAACAGAGTAGTAAACGTTAGAGAAAAATCAAGACAACAGTGCGAAGTTCTAAAAACGTCCCTAAAATTCCACAGGGACAGAAATCAGTATAGATGTCAAATCTGAGTTTCAGCTAAATCATTTATGCAAAGTCCTTATGAACATGGCGAAAAAGTTAAGCCTGAAAAGTGGTTACCGAATACCATTTTTATTAACATACACTTCAGGTCACCAACAGAAATAATGTGATTTTTCTCTCAGATAACCAGTGAGATGAAGGGGAGCTATACTTTAAAAGTTCACATGACAGGATTCTTGAACTGCATTTTGGTATTGGGCTTCTTCATCAAGCTGAAGATTCTAAACAAAATGAAAACATTATCAAAATGGACAAATACTGAAGAGGTACCATAGTCCTTAGTTTAATCATTCATTTCCCACATTTTTACATAGGAATTGGCATCTAGATGAAGACTCTTCATCCTTACGTATACTAGATGATTGTTTATGTTGCACAGTATCTTTTATTTAACCAAGTACGAAGAGATACATGAGACAAGAGAAGAATCAGATGAGTGGGACAAGGCTCATTAAGCAGAAGGGTCCATCTTCTCTCCCTGGCTGAATTACATTACAGAACAGCCAGCTCAGAAAGGCTGACTGACTGTGTCACACAATTCTTATAACAGGGCTTCCAACCAGCCATAACATCCTCCATTAATAAAAACAAAATGTTATCCCCAGACAGCAGCAATCATTGATCATTGAGAATATACTGCTTAAAATGAGAAAGCAAACATGCATCACAAAAGATGGGTGGTTAACCCTGCTACTTTTGAAGAGCTGTCTTCCAAGTTGTTAATAAGCCAGAGTAATACATCTTTTAATGCAGTTCTGGCAGCTTCCCCACATCAGAATTGCCACTACCAGTTTTACATCCTCAAACATGCAAGATGCTCTCACGTTGAAGAGCCCAATGTCCTGAATCAATCTCCTAGCTCTTCATGCCTTTGTCACGGATCACTCAACACAAAGAACAATTTGCATCATCTTGCCACCTCTAACCAGTGAGGCTCTCTACTCCTCAAGTACTATGCTTGTCCCATACAAAGTTCAAGCAATGTACCCCAAAGCCTGTCAAACTGTAGAAAATACAACACAAATTCTCCAGCTCTCTGATCCCACATGCAGAACTCAATTGGTTGGCTTGACTTATGGTCCAACCACTGACTACATCTGTGTACGTAGTTCTGCATCTACTTCAAGGTCATTTACTCAGTGAGCCTGAAAAAAGGCAACCTGAACAATAATTTAATGACACGTCTCTTTTTCAGGTTGCAGCCTCTGTCACAACAATACTGGAAGAGAGGCTGTAGCAGCAGCAGCAGCAGCTAGTCATGTTGCACTTCGAGTTCTGAGCATTACGATTTAACCATTTCTGCCATATAAGGTCAAAAATGTTAATAAAAGAGTAGTATCTATTTTATTTTCCCCAGAAGCAGCAGTAATAAACTGTTCTGGAGGAACAAATAGTTCAGATTGAGAACAGTAAGGTAAAGACTTCAGCCATCCGTTTGGAGCAGAGCTTAGCTACTGACAACACCTATTCTAAGAGGCAGTTCATGTTGATAATGGAATATTTAAGAACAGACAGGCCTACTTCTGAGTTCTGTACAGAGCAGGAGCATAGCATGTCCAGAGCACAAACAAGTTTAGTACATATTTTTTATTTGGCATTTTGTTTATAGAAAAAAGTTACCATTTATTCTCCTACACATCAAAGAAGAAAAAGCTTACCACAAATTCTCCGTAGTCAAACCGGTGTCTTAGATTTAGATGGCTAACAAGATTCCTAGTCACCTGGTTAGTATCTGCCCAAGGAAGAGACACACAAATAGGACAGATCTGAATTTGGAGGAGAAGGGGAAAGAGAGAGAATGAAAAAAAAAAAAAGAAGTTATTGGTAATACAAAACACACTGAAGACATGTTCTACAGGATTAACTGGTCTATTACTCATCCACTACTAAAATACTGTAGAGATATTCACATAAAGCCATAGTTTTAAGTATTCTTTTCCTCAGTTGTGTAACATTCAGAAGTTACATTTCAACTTGTGCAATTTTGTGTTTCTCTTAGGAGTGGAGCATTATCATGTCTGTCTGTCACTCTTAGTTTATTTCTGTTATTCAAGATTTAGAAAACAAAGTGATTACTGCATCCTACTTATTGTTTGGGAGAATTTTCATACAATTGAGATAATCAAGTAAGCCAAAAGAAAAAATAACATCCCCTATACAGATTAAAAGAACAGAAAAACAGGCAGATTTTTCCTCTTCAGTCCCTTTGATTGATTACCTTGGATCGTTTTTCAAGTAAGTGCAGGTTTCATGTGAAATTACAGTTATTTTATGAATGGGATTCCACAGAAACAGATCTGAATTACTAAATGAAGAAGTGTCAGGCTCAAAAACTGAGTTTGTTCCACATCTGGATAAATTAGACAGCTAGGTAAGAAATGCCTTAAACCAACAAGAAGCTGGACAAGAAACATTTCCACATGATAGTCACTCCTCAAGTTAAATGCATGCATTAAGTATATTGCCTCTCTCGGACCACGGTGATCTTTAAAGATAATAGAGTAGTAACTATACATTTAAAACTGTCCACATAATTATAATGAAAGTAGCTTAAGAAGCATGTATAAGCAACAATACTTACTACAGGAACTATCTGATAAAGATGTCTATTATTACAGTGATCCAGCAAGCGTTGCCTGGTAAAATTGGCTTCCTGACAGAGGGGGCATTTGAAGGTTGGATGTCCACTGTAAACAGAAATACACAGTATTAAACAGAAAAGAGAGTTTCAGAAGCAGTGTTATAGAAAGTGTAATTTTCTGTTACCTTGTCATTGTTTTCCTTTAATTTGAAAACAACTTAAAAAAGAAACCCACCCTCATTGACATAGTAGCAGATCTAATGGAGTCCCAGTGCTACTTCCAAATTGCAATTTTAGAGCATATTTATTATTTGTACACCTAAATGCATTCTTCTGAAGCTTGGATTTCAGAAAACTCTCTTGTTCCAATTTCAGCTGCATCCTGATTTTACTTACTGGTAACATCTTTTAGTGCAAATCCTTCAGGAAAGTACTGAAAAAAACCCAAATTCTAACATATAGATGCAAAGGGAGAGGAAACTACACAAGTTTTTGAATACAACTTGTTGTAGGCGTTTGTGTGGTGTTTTGTTTTTTTTTACATTAGTAGAAACTTGCAATAGGACTATCTAGATCTATTTTAATATTAACTATAGAAAAATAAGCAGCCTACCTTGTTTCTCCTTGAAGTATTTGATTATTAGCCATCTCGCCATTATCAGATATTGCATCACTCCTGCTACTTTAAATGAAGGGGGGAAAAAAAATAAAAAATTGATATTATTTTACTCCATTATCAAGATTTTTTTAAGTTTAAGAGTAACAAAGGGGAAGGGGGAAAAATTCATTGAGACACACGAATTTCAAGGCAAAACATACAATGGTACATAATTTAACTCTCACAACTTTTCCTTTGGATCAAGGTAAACCTCAGTATGCAGTTACCATGGTGACCCTTGGTGGAATACTACACAACTTTACAGGAAAGCAGTATGTGATACAACCAACATTTAGCCAACAAGAATGGTAATGGAGATTACAGCCAAGTAGCTCAAAAAGCATTATTAACGGTGTGAATGTAAGACAGGAATCTCTAAGTTTTTTGACTTAAGACTATGTAAACAAGCACTTAATTGCCATGGGATTACAGAAATAATTTACAACTTTCAACCACAGCAAGATTAATTTCTTACAGTGAGCACAAATAAACTATTTCCTAAAGCAAGAGTGACAGACAGAAACATTTAGAAAGTAATTTTGACCACATATGCACCTCTAGCTAAGCCAGAAGAAACTGCACAGACACACTGATCATTCCAAGAACGTGAACATTTCCAGTCACAAATCTGGGCACAGTACATTTTCTTATACTTCTGTAATATTATAACCACAGGTATGCTAGAGTGGCATAGTCAATAAATAGTGATGTAACAATATCCATTCACTTCAGTGAAACACTGCTGAAGCTAGTTCTGGTAACAGCTTAAACTTCCACTTTCAATATATTGACAGGTTGAAAAACAAACAGAGAGAAGTTCAGACTGCTAAAAATAGAAAACATATCAAAAAAAAGTAAATAAAGGACAAGCTATATAGAATAAAGCCCTATGAAACTAATATGTAAATAAAGGTCTTTAAAAATAAGCAAAAATCCCCAACCAAACCAAATGTATCAGTGAGAAGGTATGAAAAAGAAAGTTCTTTAGCTTTTCTCCCTGAAAACAAATCGTGTCATTTTTATTTTATGGTGCATAACATACTGGAGTTCTTTATATGTTTCATAAGAGATCAGCTCAAAATAAATTCAATCAGAAAGCAAAAGCTTGCACAGTAATGTTTTGAAACAGGATACCCACTAAAACAGACTTAGGAAAGGGGAGGAGGAATCAAAAGAGAAAGGGACTTCCCTGGGGCTAAATATTATGAAATATGTTACAAAGTAAGCTGCTCAAATGCTGCTATGGCAAGGAAAGCAAACTACAAATATTACACACTTTTTAGGAGAGTCCTTGGAAGACATTCCAAACCACCATGCAGAAAGGTTTTCTTCTTTGTGCTAAGAGTAAAGGAAAAGACCTGGAAAAATTGTCATTTTTTGAAGCACAACAATAGGATAAGAATTATTGCAAAAAAGGCATGCCCTGGAAAAAAAAAATACTTTGGGGGGGCAGGGGATGGAGCAGGGAAAGAAGATGCATTGCTATAGATAAAACACCCCTATTACCTGTTCCCTGTAGAGTCTTGGGAAATCTGTAAGTTTGGAATAATAGAAGAAACACCATATTCATCCTGATACTTCTTACACGTTTTATAATGCTGTCTCATCCACGAAAATCTAACCTGTAAATGAAATGCCAAATTATTGAAATTACTGGAGAACATTCCCACTCCCCAGACCCCCAACAGCCAGGCATCTGAGAGCTCTCAGGGGTGAAAGATGCAAGTAAACTCCATTTAACTGAAACAAAGTCACAGGAACTACAACTCCCACAATCCAGGATCAACAACTCATGAGCTACGACAGAGAGGGGCCATGAGGATGGGATAAGCACCACTGCTCCTTGAGTCTTCTCTGGCCTGCTATTACCTTGTGCAGAGCAGAAGCTTTTTGCATTAGGTGTGTTCAGAGAATACCAAATGTTTCTCTTTCAGAAGGCATTAAAAAAGTATAACAGAATAGGTGAATGAGCACCAACTTTAGGCTGTATATCCACCTTAAATGCTAGGCAATAATGAGTTGCTCAGATTTGTCAAACACCTGTGCTGGACATGCCCTAAATCAGAATTTCAGGTCCAACAGCACTGTCAGAAAGTGCTCACAGGTTTAGAGGCTGAATAAGACCACATCTTGCACTCCCGTAGTTCTTCTGGGGATCCATTTGGTTCTTCCTTCCAGTTTAGCAACTTGCTGTTGTTTCTTTCTCCCTGCTTTTCATTCTAATGAATCATGTGGACCAAAGCAAGCAGCTCAGCTTTCCACTAGTACTAATCTTCACATTGCCAGAACTAAGTCCCAGGTGAAATGAAACAAACATGAAGACTACCTGAATTTCATGCAATTTCATGTAAGCAAAATGTGTGGCTGAAATCCTGCATCTGTTTATACCAGCAGAGAGATTACTCTTGATTTCAGTGGGGGTCACGATTTCACCCAATGTTCTGAAAATAATGACCCCTTTACAAAGAGAATGATGGAATGTAAACAGACTGATGGGGCAAGGGGAAACTGTATGATTTTATGCACACCAGGAGTATGTTTTTGTATGGTTTTGTTTTAAATTCAATTCACAGTAGTTCTAGGCACTTTCATTTCCACCGTGAAAGTTTCTGAGGTTTTCCATATATCCGCAATTATCATTTTCAGTTGTCAAACTTTTCTTTTGATAGTTTTATGGCTATATCCAGTTTTCACATTGTTTTGCAGAAAAATTGGCACTCCACCTAAAAGCCCTTATAGGCAACACAAGATTCTCTTTCTGTTTACACCTGTTAGGCATACCTAGCAGGCACTGCATGCCTAGTATATGCACAAGCCGTACAAAGCTAAGTTCAAACTGTTATATAGGCTTTTTAGCTCCAAGACAAGAACACCACCCAGTAAAAGTGTGTCTGGTCAGAAATAAAAACAATTATCCAACTTTTTGTAAAGTTTTACTCTACCTGCTTCTCACAGCATCTACAGCCCCCAGAAGCTTTCTTCATACTGTTTTCAACATCTAGAGCCCTTTTGGGATATGTTCTTTCTTTTTTAGTCACGCTCCCCCGGCAGAGAGGACAATGTGTTCCACTTTCTCTGATAGCTGTCAAGAAGCACTTCCTGCAAAACCTGAATTAAAAAGTTACCACAAACACAGGTTAGCAAAGTGAAGAGAGTGAGATACTTTGTCCTTGAAGAACGCTGGCTGATTATTAGGGAAAAAAAAGATGTCAGAGTAATGGTCTACTGTATACAAATCTTTATAAGCAAAATGAAATAATGGTGCTTACAAAGAAGCATATGGGAGTAAGGGGAACTTGGCAATGTGCTTTATGTAAAGATCTTACTATTTACTGACTAGTATTCCTGAGCTGTACACTGGATTGATCATTAATGAGATATTAAATGGTGCAGCAGGCACATGATACTGGAAAGCCTTATCAAAGTAAGCCCTGTTTATCGGCCTTAAGCGAAGCCAAACATACTGCATTTAGCATGAAAGATCTCAGTTCACCAGCCTTCTGTGGTTCTCTCACTTTGTTTCCCGGTGTACCAGCTGCCAAAGCTATTTTGCTTTGCTACAAAGCAGTACTTTGTAATTAAACGTTCCTCTGAAAAAACATAGAATAGATGAACTGAAAAGAGAGAACAACTACGCTATGTTCCTTGCTGGAAAACGAGCAGGAAACTATAAAGTTAAAACCGTGAGTTAGGTTAGATGTGTGAGATGTTTCCATCGACCAGGCAACCGGGGGCTTGCTTCAGGAGGTAGCTTTTCTAACCGGCCGGCCCTCATGCGCTACAAAAGAAAGAGGCAGGGGAAGGCTGGGGCAGCCCTTGGCACGCA